CCCCAAAACCCCAAAACCCCAAAACCCCGAATATGAAAATACTGTAAATTTTAGAAGAAATTATTTGATTTAGATAATTTTACTTGATTATTTTGATTATCAAGCAAACATCTAATAAAGTTATGATTCCACGTAATCATTATGATTCCAAGAAATGATTCATTATCTCTTGCAATTGATCAGGTACTTACCCTCGCTTGCAACTTTTTCTGAGTCTGGGAGAGCTTCTCTCCATTGTTCAATTGGCACCTCCTTTGCGATCTTAGAGCCGAATATTTTACCTCCATTGTAAAGGTCTTCAGCAACATAATCAAACCATTTTCTTCTTTCGTCAAGAGGAAGTGAAGATACCCAGCGGAACATCATAAGTCCAACGATTTGCTTGTCAGACCAATGGAATTCAGTTGGCTCAAATGCCACCTTTTGCTTTGATAAGTTACCGTAAACAACCATGAATGATTTGGCTGCCATTCTCTTGAAGATTTCACCTGGAAGTTCACCGCCAACACACTCGAACAAAACTGTGGGCTTTACTTCGTCTAAGACCTTTTGTAAATCTTCAAGGAAGCTTGGGCTCTCTTAATTCAACACATACTTAGCTCCAAGGTTTTCCTAAAGATCCTTCACTTAATCGTCTTTTCTAACAATGTTCACGGTCTCAATGCCTTCCTTTTGGGAAAGTCTGAGCATTTGTTTAGCAAGGGCAGAAGAAGCAGCCATTTGGATGACAGCGGAGGCATTGTTTTTCTTTGCAAAATCTAGCATGGCTGTCACAGTGAAAGGATTCACGTAAGTATTAGCTCCCTATTTCAAGTCAAAGTCGTCGTGATTGAAGAGCACTGTAAAGTCAAGGTTGGAAACTGCGTATCTGGACCAGCCGCCTCCGAGGAAAGCTGCTTTCTTGCCAATGAGAGTGGCATCTACGCCTTCTCCTACAGCAACGATGATTCCACAGCCATCTGAGCCCATTACGTAGCCCTCAGCTTTGTTGATTCCATGCATAATTCTGTCATATGGATTTACAGTGGAGTAGTGCACTTCAATCAAGACTTGACCCTTACCTGGCTGAGGTACATCTTCTTCAACCAAGTCAAAAGCCCCATTGAGGTATTTGACGCTTTGTTATTTTCCAGAAGATTCCATGAGTTATTTGTAATTAAAGATACTAATTAAATTACAGATTTTTCAATTCTATGGACTTAGAGCTCGTAATTTAATTATAGCTAGAAAAAATAAATAAGTTTTCAATAAAAAAGCAAGATTTGATTCATGGGGTTTTGGGGTTTTGGGGTTTTGGGG